TGTCTCAAAATAAAAAACAGGGTTAGGGATGTGTAGCTCAGTGGTAGAATGTTCCTGGAATCAATTTTAAAAATTGAGCAAACTTCTAATACTCGGAGTTGTCTGCCTCAAATGAAAGGGACTGCTTATGTTGTTATTTGTTTGCAGTGCCAGGGATCAAACCCAGGACTGGATAGGCAAGTGCTCTAACACTAAGCAACACTCCCAACCCCTGAAATAGATTGCTTTTGAAAGCAGTGTTTCTTATGACTTTGAAATACTGATATGTAGATGAAACTTGAAAACATATGAAAAGTGAAAGTCAACCAGAAAGGGCACATCTACACAATTCCATTTATATGAAATGTCTAGAATTGGCAAATTCATAGAAAGATTACTCAGGGGTTGGAGAGAGTGAGTAAATATTAGTAGGTATCATACTTTCTTTTTGGGATAACAGAAATATTCTGGGAAAAAAAATCACTTTTAAATTTCACGTTATATGGCTTTTTTCCCCCCTTCCTTATAGTGTTAATAGAGTAGCATTTATTCCTGCAAGATGAGCTGGGACCCATAGAGGTTGCCTATGATGTATGAATTTCATCTCAATTAGAAAAGAAAACCTTTACTAAACTGTTTAGCACATGCCTGTAATGCCAGCAGTTCAGGAGGCTGAGGGAGAACAATCACAGATTCAAAGCCAGCCTCAGCAATTCAATAAGACTGTAATCAACCTAGTAAGACCCTGTCTTAAAATAAAAACTAAAAATTCAAAAATAAAAAGGAAGGGGGGTGGCCTGGGGATGTGGCTCAGTGGTTAAGTGCCCTTGGGCTTAATCCTGGGTACCAAAAAGAAAAGATCAATACCTTGTTTTTTAATTTACTTTTATGTGGTGCTGAGGATCAAACCCAGGGACTTATACATCCTATGCAAGTGCTCAACCTCAGCCCCTTAATGACTTTTTTTTCTGATGATAAAGAGTCAGAGAAGTTAGGGATTTGTTTTTGTCTAAGGTGACAAAGGCTAAGACCAGGCAGCACCAAGACAAGTACTCAATCTTGCTTGGCTGCAAAGCTTACAGAACTGTAATAAAGTTCACAGGTAGTGAGTACCAGAAAGTTATAGAAAACACTTGGATTAACTAAGATACACACAGGAAAGACAGATCACCAGCAAACCTGATTCTGCCTTTTCTATTACAAAGCTTGAAAATGAAACAGAAGTTTCCCCAAACTTTTAATCCATTTCTCTTGCTGATGCTGCTTTTTTCCCTACAGTGCTGGGGATCAAACCCAGGGCCTCGCCATGTCACACAAGCCGGAGGAAAAGGAGCTGGAGATACTGGTCAGAGGATACAAAGTAGCAGGTATGAACAAGTCTAGACATCTGACAACATGAGGACTTAATTATTACTTATTTTGCAGATGGAATTCACACTAAATAAGACTTAAGCTACTCTTGCCACAAAAACTATGTAAGATGATGATAATTTGCTTCACTATAAGTTTTTAATAATCTATATATATCCCATATCATGCTCAATAAATATACACAAATAAAATTTATTTATAAAAAAGTCTACCCTGCAGGCTAAGGTTGTGGCTCAGTGGTAGAGTGCCTGCCTAGCACAGGTGAGGCACTGGGTTCGATACTGAGCACCACATAAGAAAATAAAGTTTTATATATATGAATAAAGTTTTATATATGTGTGTGAATATATGAGATAAATAAATAAATATTGGGGGGGAGGAAAGAAAGTCTACCCTAGGAAGAGTTGAAACTAAATCCTTTTAACTAAGGGATTTCCTCCCCTAAATTTCCTAGCCATTAGTGTGACCAACATCAAACTAGGACTTCCTGAGTGCCAAGAACCATTCACCCAGGTTTTGTACACATGACTCTCCTTAAAGCCTCAAGATCTCAGAAGTTCCTGGCTGAGAGGCAGTTTTAAAAGATGTGAGTTCTAAGAGGTCAAATTTTCACTCTCAAAAGCTCTACCTTTGGCTCACCTAGTTAAGATCCATTCTCCCCTCAGTGCCATCCTAACCCTAACAACTCATTCAGGAGCAAAGGGAATAATCAGTCAGTCAGTATACCTTGATGGTTTCAAGCAACAGGAAGGCTCATTATTGATAAAGCCCCACTTATAAAAACCAGGGTGTTAAACTTTAGGCAAAGTGTTCCTAGGAAGAAAAAATACTAATATTTACTATATATAAAGTGCTGAATTGTTTGGCCTTACATATTACATTTGCCTTTTTGTGGTGCTACCTATCAAATCCAGGAACCCACTCATGCTAGGTGAGTGCTCTACCACTGAGCCACATCCCTAGCCCCAGGCTCCATATATTTAAGAACTCCTATAATTTGCCAGTCACTATGAGATTATCACCATCTTCCTCCTCCAAATGTAAAAGACAAGTATTAGTTTGGAGTCACTGCACAAAAGATAGCTTATAGATTCAACTCTGGGTTTGTCAAACTCCATGTCCTTTCTACTACACCACAATATCCCTACAAATGGTCTCCTAAGTGTGAGAAATGCCTCATTCCTAGATTAAAAGCAATATACTATAGGGTTAAGATGAAAGATTCTGGGATCAACTTGGACTTGATTTTCAGTCATAAATATGTGACCCTGGGAAGTTACTTAACCTCATTAGGTCTCAGTAACTTCTGTAAAATATATTATACAGTGCATCTCTTTTTTTTTTTTTTTTTTTGTGGGGGGGTATCCCATATCCATTTCCCTTTGCTGTTAACACTTCAACTTCCTTTTGAGGAATTAGGTCTTAAAAGCATATGACTCAAGGTAACGTATGTCCAGCCTGACATTCCCTCCCTAGAACCTAAATCTTAAGTAGGAGAAAGAAACCAAATATAGTATATGAGTTTATTTATTCCAGTGTGTCCAAGCAGCCAGTCTCTGCTCCAAGACCATTTACCACTACTGTCCCAGTTCTCTCTAGCTGCTATAGATCCCAAACCAAATTTTGTTTCTTTATTTATTTTTTTTAACCTTATTATTATTATTTTTTTAATGTGGTGCTGAGGATCGAACCCAGGGTTTTGCACGGGTGAGGCAAGCACTCTACTGCTGAGCCATAACCCCAGTCCCCCAAACAAGATTATATTTAATGTGGGAGTTCCTAACATCATTCTAATAAATTCCCTTTTATTTACATTACCATTTTGATGATTGTAACCAACTGAACTTCAAATGAAACACTGTTGACAGAACAAATAAAAAAGGGATTCAAGGGATAAAAATTGACACCATGGGGGATCTTCTTAGCCATTAGAAGTAAACTTACGGTCTATCAAGTAATGTAAGTATAGTTGTGTTGTAAATTTGAAATGGCTGTAGGAAAGATTAGCCCATTTATCATCTTCCAGGGTACTTCCTAGCGTAATTGTTTTACGGTTATGATAAAAGGATCATCCTCCTTAACAGAAAGCCACTGTAACATACCTGACATGGGTCTTTACTACTCATTCTATTCCAGGAAATATCTCAAGAAGTTTTCAATCACCTGAAAATGGAGAAATAAGAGATCAGTCTTTTGAAGAGGAAGTTCTACAGACATACAAAAAACAAAACAAAAAAAACCCAAACAACAACAACAAAAAGATAAAGAGATCCTGCATGCAGTTTACACATTACAGGAAAGAAACATGCAACTTTTAAGAAATTTTAAGTAACATTTCACTGTGAATATCAATATAGGGTCCTATGAGGCTCATCCTTGTACATTTTAAAATAGCTGAGCAGAAAGCTTTACTTTGGGGTGCAGCAGGAGGTCTAATCTACAGTCATTGAAATTTTACAATGTGTCATTTAAGATGTCAGACTTTGTGCCCAGGTTACATTACAGTTCACTTGTGATGGGCAGGATTATTAAGAGTTATGGCTAATTTATGCGGCAGCATATGGTTTTTCTTTTTACAGCTATTTTTATTAAACAAGTTTTGCAAAGTTTTAACATTAAAATTAACAGCTAAATAATTGTTTATGCAAGTTGCTGTCACAGTTTATATAAAAGAGAAATATGTGCTATTAAAATCAGACATTTAGGTTACCTTTGGTTTTTTGCGATGCATGTTAGCTTTACACATCCTGATTCTCTTGCGATAATTTTCCTTTAAAAAGGGGGGTATAGAGTGATCTCTTTTCATCAAAACAAGACATAATGCCCTGAAAGCTGACTTCAAACCATGGTTGAAAATTCAGTTATTTACACTTTATCACAATCTACAAATACATTTTTTGTTGGTGTGTTTTTAAAAGAAAAAAAATGTCCATCATGCACTGCTGCAGGCAGCTTGGCACTTCATACAAGAGGATTTTTCACCCCCGAGCAGTTTAGGTGGCTCTCTTAGGGAAGGCATGAGAACCCTGAGAATTAAGAGAGAGGAGTGGAAATGGGGCCAACCAATTCCATATTTCCTCTCTTGATCATGCAGGAGGGAATTCAGGGCCAGTCTATCATGCCAAATACTGCCCCAGGCCAGCTAAGTTATTGACAGCATTTCTGGGATTGGAAAGCAAACCATTAAGGATACCCAGGGTTTGCTGGATTGTCATATGTAAAGGCAGGTGCTATCCCTTTCTGAACTCAGTGATTTGGTGTCACTCTTTAGGTCCACCTAGGGGATTTAACAAGGTGCAAACAAGGGTGGCTGGCACTTTAAATATGGAGACCTACATATGAAAACCAATCCAAGTTTCAGTCAGTTAGTTGGGTTTTTCTCTCCAGATATTAGAACTTTTGATAGGATTGGTTAAAACTGCTTTCAACAACTTCCAGGGGGTGAAAAAGCTTTGGTTATTTTTAAACTAAAACTTAACAACTCAATAAACTTTTTTTTTTTTTGGTAAACTTAAAATAAAATCCCCCCCACCACTTTTAAGAATGTCTCCAACTTTTAACAAGCCCATTAACTTTAGAGTTAATTTAAGTTTATTTAAAAGAGAAAAAACTATTTTATTGTCCACCCAAAAAAATGACAATTCATCACATTTACTTTGATTAAAAAAGGACTAAACTTTATTGACAAACTGCTGCAGACATTTTGACATAAGTTTAAGCTACCTATTTAGGCAGACTTACACATGTAGCATTTAATCTTCAGAGAACAAAATGGGAGGACGGTACAAATCCAATTAGGACTTTAACTTATGTACAAAGTGGATTTTGATTCCTTTTTCATTCAGCTGCAGTGTCCCTTTTTATATCATGCTAGTGTTGAGACATACTTGACTATCTTGGGAACAGTTCAATATTGACAACCGTCAACTTACTGAAAAACTTCAGCTTTTGGCCCCAATGTCCAAGTGAGCTTTATGTGGAGTGCAGAATCTCAAATGGACAAAATACTTTTTTGTCTTCCTGAATACTGAAACTTTAATTATTAGTACTCTTACTGAAAGATTGTGGCTAAAAAACACTACATCAAATTAAATTTAGATGGCCAGCCCCTCTGCCCCAATCAACCTCTTCAAAACTTACTCCCCCTAAGTATCTCTCAACACTGTATGCCTGGGGCTAGATTTCAAAACCCACATAATGAAAAAGTCAGTTTTACAAACCTAATTTTGTTGTTGTTGTTTTAAGTCAATTAACGTTAATAATTGCATCAACTATTTAATTCATGAGGATCTTTCATATTAAAATTTAACTTAAGATTCAATCGCCATGTGTTTTTAAAGGAAACATTTTTAGAGACGTCTGAGCTCACTTTTGCATGGTGGCACCTACTGCCGTTAACATTTGTGATTTTAAATCTTAAACAGCCCTGAATTTTGAAATGTAGCCTAGTTTGGGATTCTGCAACTACAACTTTACGGGATGCCTCAAATCAAAACTAAGAGAAAGTTAACAAGCCTTACTTCAGAACCTTTAAGCAAGCAATGTCACTTTTGAAACTAACAGGTTTGTGGTTTTTTTTTTTTTACTCAACTTTTTTTTATTATAAAAGGTACATTTCTGTTTATATTTAAACAACAAAGAAAAAAGCATCTACACACTTAAAAAATTAATTCGATATTCCTAAATCTATTTTAACTCATTTTAAAATACTACATACAGAAGCCAGAATGCAGAGTTAAGAATGGAGGAAGGTGGGGAGAAGAAGGGGACCACGAAGAAAAACACTTAGACAATTACTTGTCTGTTGTGGGTAAAGCAACAGGAATCCTGGGAGATACAAGAAATCAGTAACAACTTTGCTCATAATTGATATTTTTCCCCTCCTGTTTGATTTTAATAACGTCCATATGGGTGCTCTCTGTATGCTCCCTTCACTGGCCTAGCTGGAGGGGCCTTCAGTGACGGCCTGGTCCCATTCCAGTCATCTTGGCCTGTGGGAAAAGCGAAGACAGTTTATAAACCATGTGTCAATGGCATCTGGGGATAAGCAAGGGTAGGTCAACCTGGTAAATATCACCAACAACACTGCTTTTCTTTCAGTGTCTTCATACCTCATTGGAGGTCCTTGTTCTCCACTCCAAACCTCCTGAACAGTCTGGACTATTTCCCACAGTTTTGAGTGGAAAGACAAAAGGGAACAACTCATAAAAGGCTGGCATTTACTTTGCAGTAATCTCCAGGAGTGAGGTTCTCCAAAGGCAACATGACTGATATACCCCAGTACCCAAACCTGGATAAACCCAATACCTTGCAGCAAGAGGGAATCATTAATCTCTGTGGGTCTACAATGGCCTTCTCTGCTTCCAATTTGGTAGATTGAAGGAAGACAGCCTCTTTCTATGCAACTGCAAGTCAGGTTCCCTGAGAAGAGAAGTGTTGCCTGGCTCTTTGGCAGAAGCAAGCAAGGGCCGTATTTAAATGAGACCATGCACCAGCAGAGCTGGTACTTATTGCTCTGATCAACAGAAATACAATCAAATATTGCATTTGCAGAATTTTTGGAATTCCTTAGATCCTTTCTTATGTCAACAGCAATGAGAAACAAGACAATATGGTTGACATTTACAAATGGTTTTCCATTGACAGGGAAGTCTGGGATAGAGGATCATTTAATTCTACAAATTGTGTTTAAGCTTATTCTTATCACACATTCTCACACCTTTCCCATGGCAGTTCTCCAGCTACCCACATTCACAAATACCTCCTTCCATCACCACAGGTCTTAAACTTCTATATGGATCTAAAGTTGCACAGAACCCTATTTATATCCCTAGTATAATACAGATGTCCATCAATTTCCAGGAGGCTTCTAGGTACCAACAAAACAATTTATTTTTCTAATTCCGTTTATAAAGGCAGAGATCAGAACAGATTTAACTGTGGCAACATCAGACTAGGAGCACAAGGAGCAGCCTGCCTCCTTTTAGTTCAGTCTTTTCTCTAGCAAAACAGAAATTCCGTTTAGTCAAACACATACAGAGGCTCCATTGTACTACCTCACCCACCGGTGGAGGGAAAAACCCGATGCAATCATACTACCCTTCTAAATAATGGCATATGAGCAGAGAAGTACAATGTAGCTGATTGGCTACTTCATACCATGCTGAGGGGTTGGATTCAGGCTGTCTATCTGTGGGAGGCCCTAAGACTGTCCATTATTTTAGCTAGGGCTAAGGAGAGACTGTCAATCACTGTCTTCAGATGCACTCTCAAATGTTCAGCCAGCTCCTTGCTAAGCACTCTCTTGAAGTTTCCCAGGTATGTAGAAAACACCTCACATTTAAAGAGCTGCTCTCTGCATCCAATGCCACATGGCACTCCCTTTGGGGCCAATTAGCATGGGATCATAATTGGCTCATAAGGACACACTTGAGCAATGTGTTTTTAACCAAACTTCAGGCCATTCCAGCTTCTACTGCTCTCTTAGGATCAAGGACTGAGTTGTCTCCAAGCCAGTATGGAGCTTGATGCCAGTAGTGCCCTGACTGGTTCCAGCCCTGCAGCCTCTGATCTAACAGGCACTACTTTTGCCCACTAACCTGCTCTAATCCATTCCTTTTCAGCTTGTTTCTACACATTGAGATTCTTTTTGTTAGGATCCAAAACTTTTTAAAATATTTTTTAAGTTGTCAATGGACCTTTATTTTATTTATTGATATATGGTGCTAAGGATCGAACCCAGGGCCTCACAAATGCTAGACGAGTGCTCTATCACTGAGCCACAGCTCTAGCTATGGTGGAGCTGGGCATGGTGGCACACACCTGTAATCCCAGTGGCTCGGGAGGCTGAGGCAAGAAGATCAAGTTCAAAGCCAGCCTCAGCAACTTAGCAAGACCCTGTCTTAAAATTAAAAATTTTGGGCTGGGAATATAGCTCAGTTGGTATAGTGCTTGCCTTGCAGGCACAAGGCCCTGGGTTGAATCCCCAGCACCACCACAACAAAATATAAAAATGAAAAAATTTTAAGAAAGGGCTAGGGATGTGGCTCAGTGGTTAAGCACTCCTAGGTTCAATTCCCCCACCACACACACACACACACACACAAAGAGGTGGGGTAGAAGAATATAACAAAATATGATAAAAATTCTTGTTTCCTACCAATATGGCTCCAGAAACATAACCCAGGTCTAGGTATCCCCTGACTGAAGTAGAAAATGATCAGTATTAGCTTAAAAATCTGCTGCTCCAGCCCAGCTAACCTGGCATGAGCCCTAGTTTAAGAATGTACTTAGCTTCCCAAGGGTAACAGTATTACCACCTAACTTTCCTAATCCCTCTTTGGACCATACATCATAAAATTTAAATAAGAACAAGACTCCTAATGTCTATGAACACCAGGGTCTTATAAAAATCCAGTCATCAGCATTCTCCCAGGCACTTACTTGGTCATTTTGCCCCACCCTAGAAAATAAGACATACCATAAGCTTCATAAGAATCTTGAACCTCCCCATGTCCATAGTCATAATATTCTGAGTCCCTGAAAGCCAAAGACACAGGGTTAAAAAACTATAGCGAAACAATATTTTAGTTCCACCTTTCTCTAAAATATATCCATACCTGTCATTTCATTGTGTGCAAAATACAGGGAAAAGCCCATTTTGTTCCTTCCCTAAACCCCAAAATATTTTCAAAGTACACATGATGAACTACTCCTCCCACAAAAAGATAAACTATAGTAAGGAAAAATGGATACCACAACTAAAAATGAATAATTCTAAACTGACCCTCTTAATGAAATTACAATAGACACATATTCACAGGGATCACTGTGAAGAAAAAAAAAAAAAAAAAAAACAGAAAAGAAAAAGAGCAATTCTGTCCCTAAAGTAGAATTCTGAGACTAATTTTCAATCACAGATAAGACACATGTGCACACAAACAGAATGGTTTAAGCTAAATGGAAAAAAAAAAAAAAAAAGGAAAAGGAAGAAAGAGAAAAATCCAGGTTATGGTAGGGAGACTCTAGCTTCCTCTTAAAAATTCAGGCAATCTTAATGTGGCTGGGTTTTATTTTCCTTGAACTCAAGGTGCTTCATCACTGAGTTATATCCCCAACGCTTTTTATTTTTGAGACAGGGTCATGTTAAATTGTGGAAGGCTTTGCTAAGTTGCTGGGACTGGCTTTGAACTTATGATACTTCTGCCTTAGCCTCATGGGTCACTGGGATTACTAGTGTGTGTCACTGGGATTACTAGTGTGTGCCACTGAGCCTGGCTTGGGATACTTCTTAGTAAATCAAGCTAAGTGTCATGGTGCATGTCTGTAATCTCAGCAATTCAAGACACTGAGGCAGTATAATCAAAATTTCAGCAATTTAATGAGACCCGCTCTCAAAAGTTAAAAAAAAAAAAATTTAAAGGAGTGGGGAGGTTGGCAGGTGTAGCTTGGTGGTAGACAGCACGGTGGTGCCCCTAGGTTCAATGCCCAGTACCAAAAATAAATGAATAAAATTTAAAAAGCGGGATGCTGAGGATGTAGCTCAAAAGTAGAGTATTCCTGCTTTTAATCCCCAGCACCGCAAAATAAATTTATTTAAATACATTTTCTCTATTTCCATGTAGTTTTTCATCTACTATTCACAGATTCTAAATTATAATTCTAGTTGGCACATGCTGATTACAGTGGCATGTGCCTATAATCCCAGCAATCTGAGAGGCAAAGGCAGGAGGATCGCAAGCTAGAGGCCAGTTGGGCAAATTCAGAGACACCCTGTTTCAAAATAAAAATTATACTCTGTAGAGTAGAATGGCCCCTCGGCTCACTCCTCAGTACCAAAATAAATAAATTTTTGTTTAAAAATTATAATTACTATCCAAATTTTAGAGCCAAGAATGTACCTCACAGATGTCAAAAGCAGAAAAGATACCTTTCAAACCATGAGCCATACTGCTCCTTAGGTCTGTGTAGCTTAAATATCTCAGTTCCCCTAATTCCATGTATCCATCCATCCTAGGGTACCAAACCACACTGCCTGACTCACCCTTGGCTCTGGCTGTAATAGCCTTCGTAGCCTTCATAACTCTGTTCCGCATATGTATCATCATATCCCTAAAATAAATAAAATGAAATAGGTTAGAATCAGAGGAGAGAGATGCTAATTATATCCCATGTGAGTATGATAGGCTTCTGGATTAATAGGACATAAAATTTTCCTCCAAAATAGTAACACCCACAATAGTCAGTCAAGAGAGAAAGGGTTACCAAAAACCTCACACACACGCACACATACACACACACAAAAAAATATCTGATGCCACAGGACAAGTGTGGGCTGAAAGTACAGTATAAAATTGAGCTTTAGTAGGAACACATTCCTTAGTAAAACACTATACATTAGCTTACTTCCCATTTAATTTACATAGATATTAAACTGTGCCTAAAAATGGAAAAATCTCATAGGTCAACACTCAGGGCAGATTACAAATCTTACAGGTATTTCCTGCTACCTACATGAAGGGTCATTCAATTTTGACAACCTTTTAGGCATTGAGAAATGTACATTGTTCAAAATATTCTTACATATTCTTCATATGTTTCTGGTGCAGGGGGTGGAGGCAAAGGTATTCTCTGGATGCCTGCTGTCCGTGCTCTTGGTGCTGGAGCACCCCTCACAGTAGGTGGAGGTGGCACCCCTCGGGTCACAGTGGCACCTCTGGTGATGGCACCTCTCACTGGGGTACCACGCACCAAAGCTCCCCGAGGGGGTCCAACACCACGGCCCCTATAAAAAGAAAATTTTTTTCAAATAGAGCATTTAATAAAGAGGTCACTTTCATCTTCAGATTTATTTGCAAATTTTGGAGCTAGATAGATTTTACAATGCCTTAACTAGACTATCATTAAAGCATAGAGCAATGAAAGTATAGATGGGCAAAGGACCCACACTGGAAGATTTCACCAGGTCCTATAATGTATTAGTGCACCTTGGGCAGGTACGAACAGCCCATGTACCATTTTTCCCCCACTGACTGGGTCTCATTATGTGGCCCAGACTGACCTTGACTTCGCATTCCTCCTGCCTTACCCTCCCCCGTAGCTGGGAGCATTCACCACCAGGCCAGTCTAGGTCTCCACAGTTTAAACATTCCATAAGTGTCAGTCACAGGAGGTAAAATTCTGAAGTTAGATCATTAAAAATGCTAGGGCTGTTCAAAATTTAAAACTCAAAAGTTTCAACAGGACTGCAGCATTTGACTATGGTCAAAGCACTTGAGATATAAAATTACATTTTTTTAATTGGTGCATTATAATTATATATAATAGTGGAATTTATTATGCCATATTCAAACATGCACATAATTTGATCTAAAATTCCATTCTTGATGGAACAAATTCTGAGATCCCTCCTAAATTAGAGATAAGAGCACCAATAAGACAGAGATGGTGCTAACAGTCAATTTGCATCCCATTTCTAGCTATCTATTTTACCTGGGAACAGGTGGAGGGGGAGGTGCAGCTCCCCGGCCTCTCACTGGCACCCCACGTCCACGAGAGGGCTCAGGTACTCCATTCAAGTAGGACAGCTCTAGAAATTGCTCCTGGCAGATATCATCCATCATATCCTGGGAAATAAAGATCACAAGGAATACTGTACAATATCTCCACCTTCTACTGAAAAGTCATCTGGCCCACATAAACCTTGGATGCTAAGAACAACTCTGAAAGCCTAGGTGAAGTCTCAGGTCATTCATTCTCTGAGGTCAAATGATGCCCTACCTGTCACTTCTTTGAGGAAAGTCTTGATGGCAGACCCCTCATTATTCAGATGGAGCTCTTCAGGATGTGGTCCCTGCCTAGCTCTCCAGATTACTTCCATCCTCTCTCCATACACAACCTCCTCTCAAGCTATGCTGAACAATTTGTAGTTCAGAGCCTGGCACACTCTCACACATCCATTCTCTGCAAATAGTTTCCTTTTCCTGGAATAATAAAAGCCACTACCATTAACAGAACTCTATAAACTGGGACTATTACAACCATTATATAGATTTTTCAGTTTAATCTTCAAATTGACCCCAGGCAGATCTCCCTATATTACAGTTGGGAAAAGATTCAGGGATTATGAATCAGCCTAAAGACACAAAGCTAGTAAGTGACAGATTCAAGATGTGAATTTAGAATTACCTACCTCCAAAACCTAGGCTTTGAATTAATAGGCTCTACTGCATTTCTTTTACTTTTCTTTTTAATTTTTTCTGGTCTACCAAAGGAACCCTAACTAACCCTTAGCAAGACTTAATGTAAAACGGTATCCCTTTGGAAAAACTCTGTTGATGCTATCCCCACACATTCTCTTTTCCCAAAGCACCATGCAGTTCTCTCTATTCAAGCACTTCTCATCATTTTAGAATGGTCTTTCTTTCTCATAAATTATCAGCTCAAGAGCCATTTTTGTAATTTCATACCCAAACACAGTAAATACACCAAGAGTTCCCAATCTAGTGCCTTTCCTACTGTACCACGAAGGCTTCCTGGTACAGTTAGTGGTTCTAAGGGGAAAATGGAGGGCTCTAGTTACAGATGCAAAAACAGGCTCACTTTTTCTTCTTCACAAGACGGAAGAACTTAATCAAATGTTATTTGCAAATTTTTTCACACATTTCCTGTTTTGAGAATCATTCAGTCTTAATACTTCAAGCATATATATATTCAGGTGGATACAGTTAAGAACAGAAGATGCTAGTCATTAGAGAGATGTCCCCTTCAACTCTTCATTTCCCCTTTTCTTACACATCACTGCTGCCTGAGACTCACATTCAAGCACCAATGCCAATTCTCGCTCAGACTCGTCTAACTGCCAGATCAACACGGAGGAAGCCAGATCTACTCAGCAGGCATCTTTTCTCAAAACTTCATTTACATGCAAGCCTTGTAAACCTATTCCATCAGAGAAATAGGTTGGAGAGTAACAATAAAGAGGAGAGGGACATTCCTTCTGCAGTCCTTCAGAAAGCAGGTAGTCAGAAGATTTCAAATAAAACTCTTCAAAAAGTAAAAAGTGAAGTCTGGCATGGTCATATACACCTGTAGTTCTAGCTACTCAGGAGGCAGAGGCAGAAAAATCACAGACTCAAGGGTAGACTGGGCAACTTAGGGAAACTTTGTCTCAAAACAAAAATTAATAAGGCTGTATTCATATAGCTCAGTGGCCCTAGGTCAATCCCCAGAACCAAAAATTAAAAGGAAGTGAAAAAGGACTGGGGATATTAGCTCAGTGACAGAACCTTTGCCTAGCATATACATGACCCTGGGGTTCAATTTTCAGAACTGCAAAAAATAAAAATAAATTTTTAAAAATTCAAGAAAAAATTAACCAGCCATGAGTTTTCCTAATGAAGATACGGTACTTTAAGCTGGGCATGGTGGTGCACGCCTATAATCAGGAGGTCGAGGCAGGAGGATCCTGGTTTTAAAGCCAGCCTCAGCAATAGCAAAGTGCTAAGCAACTTGGTGAGAACCTGTCTCCATAAATAAAATACAAAACGGGGCTGAGGATGTGGCAGTGGTTGAGTGCCCCTGAGTTCAATCCCCAATACCACCCTCTGCCAAAAAAGATAAGGTACTTGAAAATAAAGCAGCCAATGAGATGTCTGAGACAGTATTAGTACTCTTGTGGGTTCAGCTTTCAAGTACACACTTGCCTATCAACTTTTGCTCTACCGATTCTCATACCTTTTGATACTACACTTAACTCCTTCATTCAAGAAATTTAAGGACTATACTTCACCTCTTCTTAAGTTTTAGTGATGAAAACATTACTCAACTTTAGTTAATAGTATTCTAAATCTATCCCAAGGTTTCAGATCCATCCTTTTTTTTTTATTCCCACATTTTTTTTTTACTGGTGCACAATGGATATCTGTTACATATTCATACATGCACACAATATAACAATATAATTTGGCCCAACACTTCCCTTCCTCCTCCTATTCCTGCTCACCTTCCTCTATTTATTTCCCCTTTTTCCTGAGATTCTCACCAGATTAAGCCTTGATATTAAATATTCAACAGTAGTATGTTAATGCTGACAACCACCAGGCCTTGCTAAGAGACAAAAATGGTACCATTCTCTCTTGATAGTAATAAAGGCTAAGCATCACTAATCTGAAATGCCCCCAAATCCAGAACCTTTTGGGTCATAACATGATGCCAAAAGTAGGAAATTCCACACCTGAGTCCATATGATGGATCATAGTCAAAACAAAGATAAACTAAAAACACTATAAAAGTATCTTCAGGCTATATATGGCACATATGAAACAAAAGTAAATTTTTTGTTTAGACTAGGGTCCCATCCCCCAAGATACCTCATTATGTAAATGCAAATATGCCAATCCAAAAAAATCCCAAATACAGAACACTTATGGTTGTCAGAATTCTAGATAAGCAACACTCAGCTATAATCTGACAAGGTGGTAATAAGTAAGAAAAGATACTCTGGCCTGTCACAAGACTTCCTAGGCCTCAGTTATATCCTTAAAGAAAGGAGCTGTCTTTAATATTATAAACAGTTAACCAACAGATGCCTCTTCAAATCACTCGACTTGAGTGACACCTCCAGAAGAGGAACCTGAGTGTAACAGGTCAGAATTTAATCCAATAATAATGGATGGTATAAGTTTCTTGCTGTCACCTCTAGATTTCAATAGAGTCTGAAAAGTCTACAGCATAAACCCTTCAAGTGCAGGGACCTACCTTAATCATTTTCCTAACACTTTCAAAATACCAAGCTTAATGAAGACTGTTAAATATTTGTTCATCAGATCTCAGAATGGATACTCATGGACTCAAGATATTGACAACAGATACTAGTATACAATGAAAACCACATCAAACACAGGTGCTTTTGGTAATGGACCATCAGAAAAATAAACATAAATGCAGAATTTAGTAGCATCAGCTTAGGCAGAGACCTTGGTTAATAACCCCTTCCTTCACAAAAGCATATAATTCTACTTTTCCCTTGCTCAGAAGATAAAGGATATGTGTTTCCTTACTGGTACTAAAAACTTCTTCACTTCTTCCATGGCATGGGCCATGAGAGCATAAGCCTCACATGGGGGTCCAAAGACTTCAATGAAGACATGCAGATCCATATTTAAGTGGGCATACTTTGGGTCTCCGCCTTTGCGAAGCTCTTCTTCCTATGGAAAAATGCAGAGACATTATATTACATGGACTAAAGAGAAAACTTTTACCTCTAGGCCAAAGGGATAGCAAGATATAACCTGAATATTTTGTGAAAAACAATAAGCTTTAAGAAGAAAGTTAAAAGAAAAAAAAAAGTTCTGGAGAGGGCTGGGGATGTGGCTCAAGTGGTAGCACGCTTGCCTGACATGCGTGTGGCCCGGGTTCGATCCTCAGCACCACATACAAAGATGCTGTGTCTGCTGAAGACTAAAAAATAAACATTAAAATTCTCTCTCTCTCTAAAAAAAAAAAAAAAAAGTTCTGGAGAATAGTTAATTTACACAATATACTGAACTTATACTTGGTTAACTATTCTCTTAAATCACTGGGGTATTCACTGGTGCTCTTATTAGAAGGCACAAAATAAAAAAACTTAATTCTAGTCTCTTTTCAGCTAACAGCTTGTTGTTAAACATTTGCAAGTACGTATGGGGTGTGTGTGTGTATTTATGGCCCAAGCATTTGTTTTTAAGTCCCAGGTAGAGAGCTCTTAACCACCACTAGCTATGCTTATCTGCTTATACGGTATGGGGGATTCCAAAGAAGGAAAGAAGTCAAGATCAAGAAAAACTCAAATTAAGTCTCACAGGTAAACATACTTCAGCCTCAGTAGAGGGCCTGAACAAACAACATTTGTCAATTAAGAAAAAGGAGGCCTGGTGGCTGAGGCTGTAGCTCTGTGGCAGAGAACTTGCCTAGCATGTGTGAGACAGTGGGATCGATCCTTAGCACCACATAAAAATGAAACAAATAAAATAAAGGCATGCTATCCATCTACAACTAAAAAAAAAGAAAAAGAAAAAAGAAAAGAAATAGGAGGCCTGAAAGAGTTTAGACTAGCACAGGTACATCTCATCTAAAAAAGCTGACCTAGAAGGCTAAGACTATTCTGTTGTGGTGGGAAGTTTCTTGGTCCTTAAAACAGTACACAGTGAGCCAGGCACAGTGGCGCACACCTATGATCCCCAGCAGCTTGGCAGGCTGAGGCAGGAGGATCACAAGTTCAATGCCATCCTCGGCAACTTGGCGAGATCCTATCTCAAAATAAAAATAAGAGCTGAGGATGTGGCTCACTGGTTAAGCACCCCTGCTTAACCTAGCAAAAAATGAAATAAACAGTAAACAGTATACAGTGTATGGGCTATGGCATGGAAAAGAAGTAAGTATCGGGTAGGTTTTGTTGTCAGAATTACTCATGGTTCCTTTTGATTACATAAAAAACTTTTAGCAGTCCCACATTCCAGCTGGCTAAACAACAGACCATCTAATCCTCAAACTCACAACACTGCTGTTCTACTTTTTCATGTTACCAGAAAGGAGATATGTTACATGTTGTTCACATTTTGATGTGGGTAAGTTTTAGTAAACCCAGCTAACATTTCAAGTTTTCACAGTTAAATATAAACACCAAAGATAATATTGCTATTTGGACAGCCAAAATTCTAAAAGAAAACAATCATAAGGCACATCAAGGCTCTTCCAGGGTTGCCAAGCAAGTAAATTAACTTGGTCTATAATCTCTTGTATCCAGTGAAAGCTTAAGAAGTCCTATTGTATAGGTATACAACACTTGTACCGTAAGTCATCCAAACTGGATGCCAGGGCAACTAGAAGGCATTAGGGTGTTATCTTCGCCTCACAAATATGAGCTTACCTTGGCTTTGTCTCTCATTGAGCCCTTTCCCAATACAGAGATCTTTGCACCAGTTTCTTCCTGCAGTCTTTTGATTGTATTCCCTTGTGGTCCAAGAATCTTCCCCACAAAATTGAACTGACAAGAAAATTAAAAAAAAAAAAAAAAACAGATTTCTGAAAACACATGGCTCCTATAAAACATTTTCACATATACTATCTAATTTGATCTTCAACAACCACGTAAAATAGGTATTACCATTCATGTTTTACTGAAGGATATAGAGGCTATACTATGATTAGGTTAAAGTTATACATCTAAAAAGTTGGCAGTTCACAGATCTGAATTTCAGTTTCATGATATAGTCTGGTGTTTTTTCCCCTAACACAATGCATCCCTTAGTATTTTTTTTTTTAATATAAATAAGCATTTTAACATAAACAGAACATACATATAGCATCCTTTGATAGCACGTTTGGTAAAATAAGAAGAAAGCATTTCCTTAAAAGGTAAACTTTGAGTAAGAAATAATTAAATTCATCTAGTCAAGAATTTGTGTTTTATTTTAAGATTCCAAGTCATCCCAGCAGCTCAGGAGGCTGAGACAGGAGGATCGTGAGTTCAAAGCCAGGCTCAGCAAAAGCAATGCACTAAGCAACTCAGTGAGACCCTGACTGTAAATAAAATACACAATAGGGCTGGGGATGTGGCTCTGTGGTTGAGTGCCTCTAAATTCAATCCCTGGTACCCCCGCCAAAAAAAATTACAAGTCAATCATTTGACAGAGAGCAACTCTTCAGACTTCAAGGGATTTTGATTGTTCAGAGAAAAGAAGGAAAACAAAAAACAAACAGATGAAAAATTCTTTTTGATAATAAAAAGATGGGGCTGGGGTTGTAGCTCAGTGGTTGAGCACTTCACATGTGTGAGGCACTGGGTTCGATCCTCAGCAACACATAAAAATAAATAAATAAATAGATAGATATTGTTGTGTCCATCTACAACTAAAAAAAATATTTTTAAAAAAGATGACTATATTTTCTTTTTGACTATAGCTATGTTATTCATTATGGACTTTCAACTCCCCAAAACAGGTACTCAAGCATGGAAGAGAACCTTCACAGGCTTAGATCCCATGCAGTACAATCCCTGCCAATGACTCCCCTGCTTATAATGTTAATTCAGAGAAAAGAGGCACTTTTTGCCTTACCTTTGGGTACTGCTTGACAGGTATCAGCACCCGCTCTTTCAGCTTCATGTTCTTATGAGAAAATAAGTCCAAATAATTCTCCTCATCGTCCTTTTTTGAATCCCCTTTTTGAATCTTCTCAATTTCTGAGTAGGAAAAACAGAATTTATTTCTGCTCTAGTAAATAAAGGCAATTTTCCAAGACTGCTTAAAGCAATAACATCGAGTACACTGTGTAATAAGACCAAAGTGTTCAAATGAATGCACTAATTTTAGATAGACTGGCTGAAAGCACCAATGCTATATGAATTTGACTAGGGAACCATGAGTCCGATTTTAATAAAAGCAGTTTGCTCTTCCAACCTCACCTGAAGACTTTACATCATCCAAATATTTCTTGACATAAGAGTAAATAGATTTAACAAAGCTAATGGGGGTGAGATGAAGGAAAGCAAGATAAAGGAATTTTTTAAAAATTTAAATCTTTATCACAAAAAATTACAGAGTCAAACCTTCATGAAGAAGCAAAAAAAAAAAAAAATCAATAACTTATGTAATGGACAGTTTCATTAAAATTCCATTGTAGCAGTAGTGCTTTTAGATACTAGTCCTTAAGAGTTTGAAAGATCTAGTGGGGCAAGGTGGCACATGCCTATTATCCCAGCATCTCGGGAGGCTGGGGAAGGAGGATCTTAAGTTTGAAGCCAGCCTTTGCAATTTACCAAGACAGTATCTCAAAATAAAAAGGACCAGGGACTGAGGTTGTACCTCAGCGGTAGAGCATTTGCCTAGCACATGCGAGGCATTGGGTTCTATCCTCAGCACCAAATAAAAATAAATAATAAAATAAAGATATCATGTCCATCTACAACTAAAGAAATTAATAATAAAATGGACTGGGGATGTAGCTCAGTGGTAAAAAGTCCCTGGGTTTAATCCCCAGTACAAAAAAAAAAAAGGAAAGAAAGTGTGCTAGCTTAGCATGTATGAGGGCCATGAGTTCAATTCCCAGTACTGGGGAACAAACAAACAACAACACACACAAAAAAAACCCCAAAAGATAGAAAAAAATGAATGAATTGAAAGATCTGGTTCTTACCCTGCCACTCATTAGCTGTGTGAAATTAGACCAGTTATTTCACTGCTCTGAATGTTGGTCTCATTTGTAAAATACACAATATGTACTTTATGAGGTTGCTATAAAGACATAACGAGGGGCTGGGGTTGTGGCTCAGTGGTAGAATGCTCGCCTAGCATGTGCAAGGCGCTAGGTTCAATCCTCCATGCCACATAAAAACAAATAAAGATATTAAAAAAAGACAAAAATGAAATAACACATATACATCCAATTAAAGTCCACTCTTGACGGGTGTGGTGGCACATGCCTGTAATCCCAGTGACTTGGGAAGCTGAGACTGGAAGATCTCAAGTTTAAGGTCAGCCTCAGTAACTTGGTAAAACACTGTCTCTAAATTGCGGGGGGGGGGGGGGGGGGGGGGGGGGACACGACTAGGGATGTAGCACCACTGGGTTCAATCTCCAGTACCAAAAGAAGAAGGGGAAAAAAATAGTCCATTGCTTAGAAAATGCTTAATACATGCCCCTGTTATCTAATTTAAATCCAATCATTGTCCTTGAACAAGAAAATGTATCAAAGTAGTTTGTTTTGGTTTTGGCAATATTGGGATGGAACACAGGGATATCAAACCACTGAGCTACCATCCCCAACCCTTTTATTTTTGGACAGAGTCTCACTAAATTGCCCAGGCTGCCTCAAACTCCTAGGCTCAAGTAATCCTCCTACTTCAGCCTCCCAAGTAGCTGTTAGTGCAGGCATACTCCACCAAGCCCAATGGGCAGAACTATAAATGCCAGGGCTTTACACACTTCTGTTTCATGCTTAGAACAGAAAACAAATTTGACCTTACAATTAACAAGACTACATGTTCCATTTAACACCCTGTTTGTTTAGTGTTTTACTGGTGCTAGATCCTGCCCTCCACCCCTTCCCATCTACTTCTAATATTAACTTTTTGGTTAGTTTTGAGCCCACCAAACTGACCACACCTTTTCTTGAGTTTGCTCACTAGAAAACTAGGTGCTTAATCCTCAAAGTCCTAGAGGAAAAAAGGTGTCACAATTCTGACTTGCAAAAAAAAAAACACTGAGAAGCCTGTAAGAATGTGAAACAAGGTTGGAGTTGTGGCTCAGATGTAGAGCGTTTGCCTGGCATGTGTGAGGCACTGGGTTCAATTTTCAGCACCACATATAAATAAAATAAAGGTCCACCGACAACTGAAATATGTGTGTGTGTGTGTGTGTGTGTGTATATACTTTTTTCTTTAAATGTGAAACAAATTACATCCTTTGTTTTATCTATTATCTTCCCTGTTTCCTAACTACCACCATGCAGTTATAGGGTATATAGGCACCAGAAAAATCATTAAAACCAAGGCTTTCTATAACTTCAAACCTCATACTTTTCCTGTTGCCTCTTAATGGGGGCAGGTGAGGGCACTTTATATAAACAAGGAAGAGTTAGTTCAGTTCTAGGGATAGAACCCAAGTGGTGCCCTAACCCTAACCCTAACCCTTGCTTGAGTACATCCCCAGGCAACTTTTTTTTTTTAACTGTTTGAGATGGTCCTCACTAAATTGCCAAGGCCTCAAACTTGGCAGTGATCCTCCTGACTCAGCCTCCCAAGTCACTGGGATTACAGGTATGTGCCACCACATAGCCAACTTAATAAAAGTTTAGGGAGCACAATTTATACCCTCAGACAGTGTCACGAAGCCTAAAGGCAATGAAAGGGCTTTATGGGTGCCTCAGATGTTCAGATGCCTGATGATCTTTTTCTTTTTCTTATGGTGCTAGGGTTAGAACCCAGGGTCTTGCCTTGTGCATGTGAGGCAATTACTCTATCAACTGAGCTATATCCCCAGCCCTGTTTCTCTCCTTTTGTTTTCAACTCTATATTTCTCTTTGGCCTTACTTTTCTGGGAAAGGAAGAGCAGCCTATAATGGGAAGCAAGCCAAAAAATAAAAACAAACAAACAAACAAAAAACTTCCTAAAAATGTCTTACCCTCAGGCAAAAGTACTTTCTACACAACACTTCTTTTTTTTTCTTTTAATGTTTTTTTTTTTAGTTGTCAATGAACCTTTATTTATTTATATGTGGTGCTGAGAATTGAACCCAAGGGCCTCACACATGCTAGGCAAGTGCTCTACCACTAAAGCCACAATCTCAGCCCTCTACACGTTTCTGAAACAGACTCCTTTAAATGATCTTTGCCAGGGACTCTGGAGACCTTGGATGTCCCAAGAGTCAAAGAATGAAAAGCTGAGGTATAAACAACAGATAGGTGACCCCATTTATTTCCTAGCCAGGCACCTTGAAATTAATTATATCTAGTGTCTTCACATGGCAAGAGTTTTCGATTTGTTATCTTGCTTTGTCTTTATAACCAGTATCATCCCTACTTAACAAGTAAAGAAACCCAGGCTCAGAAAAGTTATATAACTTGTGCAAGATTATAAAACCAATTAGTGACAAGGCAGACACTTAAACCAAGTCACTTTTTACACCAATCAGAATAAATTCACCTCATCTCATGGCATTTCTTTTACTATAACTTGATGTTTCTTTTCTCACTACCCCACAGGTCTTAAGCTCCCAAGTTTAGGGCTGTTTATAATATACCTCAAAGAAAGAACATGTTTTTTGTTTTGGGTTTTTTTATGCATGTGTGGGGGATGAAACCCAAGGTGCTTAACCACTCAGCCATATCCCCAGCCCTTTTTATTTTGAGTCAGGGTCTGGCTAAGTTGCTTGCCTTGCTAAATCGCTGAGGCTGACCTCAAACTTGCAATCTTCCCACTTCAGCCTCTAGCATCACTGGGATTATAGGCATACACCGCCCGCCGCCCACCCCGGGCAGAATATGAGTTTTGAATCAAGAGAGAACTGGGCTTGAGTCCTGCCTCTGCTACATGCTTGGTATGTGGCCTTTTATTTTATTTTGGTAGCAGGGATTGAACTCAGGGGCACTTAAACACTGAGCCACATCCCCAGCATGTTTTATATTATACTTAAGAGACAGGGTCTCATTGAGTTGCTAAGGCCGGCTTTGAACTTACAATCCTCCTATCTCATCAGCCTCCTCAGCCACTGGACTACAGGTGTATGCCACCATGCCCAGCATGACCTTACTTTTAAAAAGGAGAATGATGATATGCACATGTAGAAATATGGCATAATAAATCCCACTATTATGTACAATTATAATGTACCAAAACAAAATAAAATAAAGGATAATAGTTTTAAAAAGTAACAATGCACACAAAAATGTTAACACTAGGGGCTGAGGGTGTAGCTCAATGATAGACCACCTTGCCTAGCATGCACAATACCCTGGATTCTGTTCCCAGACTACATACAAAAGTTACTAGAAAAAGTATGAAAAAAAGTATATACAAACTTTATCAACTGGACTGGTTTACCTAAAAACCAACTACCAGGTGTATTTCATTAACTCAGCATTTGATAAAGAACAAGACAATGGTCAAGATTTTCTGACCATAGCATCCAGAGATGTTTGCTTTGCTTTTTTTCCCCCAGTCCTGGGAACTTATCAGGAGTAATTTACCCATGAGCTATATCCCCAACCCTTTTTTTTTAGTTGAACGTCTTTGTTTTATTTATTTATTTATTTAGTGTGGTGCGGAGGATTGAACCCACTGCCTCATAGATGCAAGGCAAGAGCTGCACCACTGAGCCACAATCTCAGCCCCTCCCCAGCCCTTTTTGAGACGGGGTCTCGCTAAGTTTCCCAGGCTAGCCTCAAACTTGCCTTCCTCCTGCCTCAGCCTCTGTAGTCACTGGAATTACAGGTGTGCACCATCATGCCCAGCCAGAGACAGTGCTACTAGGAGGGCAAAATTCACCGCAAATCTGCTCCAAAAGGTAAGGGATCATGTTATTCTCTACACTCTCAATGCACATGGTTCATACTTCTAACCATACTTCCCTTTCTCTTGTTAACAATTTCTGGACCCCTTCAATCACAACCAGAATATCTGCAATTTTTAGTACAATGTCTGATATACAATAGGCAGCTATAAACATTTACTGAAAGAAATGTAC